ATCAAAGACAGAAACACCCAATTACCGGTGGGGGCACATTTCTCACAGGAGGGCCACTCTCTCTCCAATCTCTCAGTCCTGATCCTCAAGGGAAACTTACACACAACTTCCCAGAGACGAGCCTATGAGCTCCATTTCATCAACCTTCTGGATACTAGAGATCATGGACTAAACATAGACATTGGATTTTTGATACATTACAATCTGCCTGGCAACTGACTCCCCAGCCCAGCCCAGCCCCTGGCTTCTTTACTTTTCATTCCATCCAGGAAGAGCACACACCAACTGCTGCAGCTTCCTTAGCCTGACGAAGGGTTTTTGAACCCGAAAGCTTGCTTAATAACTACTCTCCAACCGTTTGGGTTGGTCTAATAAAAGATATCAAATTCACCCAAGGAACCTTGTCTGCCTATATCCTTAGACCAACATGGCTACAACCTAAACCCCTGCCCCAGATTAAGGGGGACTTTTAGCTTCACTTAGTGGGCAATGGTGCACACTCCCAACGTACATCAAATAGGCCTGTCTACTTACATTTCTGGGCACAGGAAAGGGTGAGACCCACTCACCCTTGCTGCTGTTCCAGCGGCTCAAGTAAATGCACTTTGCTGGGGACAGTGGCCATGACAGACGGGTTCCCCCACCTGGTGCCTGCTAAGGACACCCAGGGGGACCAGGCAACATGGGCAGATCCAGGGAGGGAATGAGAGAGGAATGCAGCCACACACCCCTTTGGCTGCATTGTACATGACCCATGAACTCAGCACCCACAGGATTATTAGCAGGGTTCCTCAAAAAAAAAAAAAAAAAGCTCACTGGTCATGGGGAGCGCCAAGCCTTATTAGCCAGTGAGCTCAGCATGCTGAGCTCTAGCAGAGAGCTATACTCGTCTACTAATTACCATAGCCTGCAGAGCTCCCAGGCTTTTCAAGTTATTAGTTCATGAAGGGGGATGCAAACACACTATCCTTACCCCATTGTGGGTTTCTACTTGTCAGGCAGGGAAGGGAAACCCACCTGCTACCACTACCACCATTACCACTGTCCCCCTGGCTGAGCTCAGCTTCCTGCACAGCTGCTCCCCACAGCCCCAACTGGAGCAGGGCAAGTGCAGCTTAGGGACTTCCTGACTCCCTCTGCCCGCAGGTCAGCTGGAGACGGTGTCAGTGGTGGGTGGCCTCCCCTTCCTGCACCCAGGGGCAAGGGGAGGGAAGATGCCATTGGGCACAAAGGGAAAGTGAGGAGGTACTGAGTAGGGGGATGGGGTCTTATTTGCTTTGTGGACTTAAAAAAAAAAAAAAAAAGTCCCCAGCTGCTGTTACTGCAGCATGGTCCAGGCTTTGAAGTAGACCCAGACATCTGAAGCTGTGAGGGCTTGTAGAAAGGGGTGTGTGACCTCACTACCATGCCCCCTCTGAATCATCCTTTAATTGTTCCTTCAGTTTGAACTTGAAGGGGCTAAACTTGGATCCAAACAGAGGGATATTCAAAGAGGGCAATGGTAATCTATAAATACAAGAACTAACAATAAAAATGAAGATAGAGAATGGCTCAGTCTCAGGAGCCCAGAGAACAAGGATCTGTGGCTTAAAGCTACAGAAGTAGTAGTGCAGAC